AGTTACAATAAAAAAATGAACACATTTCTCAAACAACTGTAGGAGAAAGTCTAAGTCAACTATTTTTATAACTTTGTTTTGTTTTTTCAATTATTTTACCAATAGACATTAGTCTAGTTTATAGCATGATGAGTTCCGTCCAGCTTTCACAGTCTGATCTACCAGGCAGGAATTATGGATACCTGATATCTATATGATTGTATTTATACAATTTGCAAAGAATGCAATATATAAGGGAGGAAATATAGCGTAGTTGGCTGGCCATTTTGGTCTATACCACTGCTGAAATTCCTATTAAAAAGTGATTGGTCAAGTATTATCAAAGAGAAAGCATTTTAGTGCAAATTCTCCTTAAGATGTGAATATATGCATGTAAGTTTAATACTATAAAGTAAATTATACTATAATACTATATAAAAGAAAATTCTCCCAATAAAGAAGGACAACATATTCTCTTTCCCTTCAGGAAAACACAAGGGTTGGAATCACATGTTACTTGTGTTGAATTGGAGCATTCACATGTGTACTCCATCACTGAATATGAGCGAAGATGGAATATAAAATAGGCTGAATTTCCATATTGATCCAGTTTCCAGATTACAATGAGGTATACCCCACAAAGCACATGATGAATATTGACTAGTCTCCTGTCTTGAAGTGCCTAAATACTTCCATAAGTGCTCAAGATTTACTTAAAATGCTTTTTGTCTACAAAATGTCTATTCTGTTTAAATTAATAAAATTGAGGTGTATTTACTTTAGTATGTATGAACATATATATATATATTTATTTAATAATAAATTTACAATGCTTCATTTAGGCCAGGAGTCTCAAAGGCAGGGGTTTGGCCCCTCAGGGAAATACTTGGCAATATCTGGAGTATTTTTGATTATCCTAATTGAAAGTGGGACTGCTAACGGCGTTTAGCAGACAAAGTTAATTGATACTGACAAATAATGTCCAAATTAAGAAATTCCAATCTGGGCATAGCTGCATGTGTAATAGTTAATGCATTCTTGCTGTTGTTCCTAGATTTGCTAGTAGAAATATCAAGCAGAAAACGTATTCTCACTCACTTTCTTAGTGGATGATGTGCTACTGTTTTATGTCAGTGAACATCTTTCTGGGTTTAGTGTAGCTCTTTGCTATTACACTGGGAAAATCTTTAAAAGGACTTTGTTTTGTTCATTTCTTTGTTTTAGGGTTGACTACATCATGTCAGCATGGAATCCTATCCTTTTAGCTCTTAGAGAAGGTAAGAAGAGAGCTTTCATCTTGCAGTCTTTTTCCATCCAAAGCTACTCTTCTTCCTGATTCTTCACACATGTTTGTTTTTTTTTTTTTTGAGGGGGGAATGATGGGGTTGGGAATCAAACCTAGGACTTTGCATACGCTACACAAACTCTTTACCACTGAACTATACTCTCCACCCTTTTGTCGCATTCTTTATACTTCTCCATATTAACTATGAAACCAAATCAAACTAAACACACAGAGAAGAAACAGAGGGTAGGAGAAGAGCTAATCTAATAACACCAGAAATCAACAGAGGCAAAATGTTTGTTTATCTTGAGTGGAGCTATGGAAACCTTAAGTTTGATACAATCTCATAAATAGAAATTGCACATAGAGATGTTGATCTTTGTGTTATATACCAAACACAAGTGGGGTTTTTAACTTCATTATATTCCAGATAAGGATTTTCTTTAAAAATGATTTCAATGATTTAACTGAGTATACTTGAATTTTTCAAGGCTAAATATCACAAGAAATGAATAAAACCAGTAACTAATGTGGCCAAAGACGCATGCTTGAGACTAAATATAGAAATATAAGTGAATTCTATAGGGCTCAAATGGGGCTATTTAGTTAGCCTTGAAATTAAAACACATCAAATAAAAGATTTAGTGTGATTATGATTTAAGACATTCCCATTGCATTTTTTCCTTTGGCACTCTGATTCTCAGCTAGCATGACTACTCAGTGGAAAACAGACTTAATGTTTATTGCTAATTATCAACAGGACAAAACAATTCAGACAAGACATGGGATGGATTTTCAATGCTTGTCTTATCATTCATCTGTATGCCTTTCATTCAATTGATCAGAAAATATGTATTTTATCCTTTCCTTGAAAAGTCTCACAGAATTAGAATATTGGCCAATATTAAAAGGAATGACCTTGCTACAGAGAGGGAAAGCATCACATGCAGACAAAGCATTTTATTTTAATTTTAATTCTTCATGATGCTTATGCAAAAGTTTGACAATATGTGATAATTACTTGCAACTATAATATTTACCTAGGAACCAACAGCTTCCCTATCTCCACTTTATCTCTACTTCTTGTCTTGATTTTCTCTTTTATCTTTTTTCTGCTTCACATTATGGACCAGAGTGTAAGCAATGATTCCATCACCTATTTCTTGAGCACATAAAAGGACAAATGACAAATCAACAAGTCATCAGAAGCCAGAATCAATATTTTCTGGGTTGCCACTGACCACAGGCCCTGGTCTATGATAATGTTCCCACCAATTGCTTATAATATTTTTTAAAAAGTCTTATAGTAGATATCTTGGCTAAATATTGCAAGGTGCTTGCAATGTAGATTTGTGGACTACTCCCCTCCCCCCAAGATTATGACTCACTTAGTCTAGGGAGGTAGCTCAGAAATCTGTACTTTAATAAGAAACCTATGTATTACCTTTGATAAACATATGCAAAGTTTGTTGACAGGCTATCTGTCATGCAACTTAAGTTTTATTCTCAGTTTTAACAATTGCAGAAGGTATTTACCCTAGCTAAGCTCTAGTTTACTGTCTGTCTATAAAATGGGGGTAAAAATGTCCATCACTTTCATTTGTTCTTGATAGTAAAATATTCACTGAGAAATCCTGATACACAATTAGTACATAACAAATAGCATTTCATTAGCAGTAATATCTGTCATCATTACCATTATCATCATCACCATTCTGTCCCCATTAATTCCTATATATTCATTTTACAGAAACATAGAAGCTCTAGAGAGTTAATGAGAATCCTTCAGATTTTTTTCATTACAGAAAACCTAATTAAAATTAAATGCACTGTAATAAGGGCATGTGTGCTAAGTTACCATTAAGTTTCTTTGCCAAAAGCAAGTCTTAAGCTCCATGTGGTAATTATGTCATTTTGCTCAGAGGCAGTATTTGGAACTTTTTTTAAAGGACAAACCAATTAATTATTATTATTTAATAAATGTGATTTTTGTTCACAACATTACAAAATATGGAAACAATGGTATAGATATTGTTCATTGATTTCCTTGTTAAATACTTTATGTAGTTAAATTTTAGCATGATTTTAAAAGAATTAGTCTGCCTTACAAATACACAGGCAGTACAATGTGATATATTGGTCAGGGTGGAATGCAACAAATGAATTCATTAAAAAATTTTTATCTAAATTCAGAGACTTTTAAATCTGAAGGGAGGGAAACACAACTTTGCTTAGAACTTTAGCATCAGCTAAAGATAATCCTCCCTCAGAAGAACGAAATGTTATCATTCGCTGGTAAATGGAAATGGAGAACATCATTCTTGAGTGAGGTTAGCCTGGCCCAAAAGACCAAAACTCGTATGTTCTCCCTCATATGCAGACATTAGATCAAGGGCAAACACAATAAGAGAATTGGACTTTGAGCACATGATAAAGCGAGAGCACACAAGGGAGGAGGATAGGTAAGACACCTAAAAAACTAGATAGTATTTGTTGCCCTCAACGCAGAGAAACTAAAGCAGATACTTTAAAGCGACTGAGGCCAATAGGAGAAGGGGACCAGGAACTAGAGAAAAGGTTAGATCAAGAAGATTTAACCTAGAAGGTAACACACATGCACAGGAAATCAATGCAAGTCAACTCCCTGTATAGCTATCCTTATCTCAACTAGCAAAAACCCTTGGTCCTTCCCATTTTTGCTTATACTCTCTCTACAACAAAATTAGAGATAAGGGCAAAATAGTTTCTGCCAGGTATCGAGGGGGTGGGGAAAGAGGAGGGGGCGGGGGAAGTAAGAGAGGGGGAAGGAGGAGAAATGACCCAAACATTGTATGCACATATGAATAAAAAAAAAAGATACCCCTCTCTCATTTAGTAATAGGGATAATGATAGTGTATCCTATTCGTTTTCTGTGCTATGATATAAGACGCATCAAATGTGGTATCCAGACTCAGAAAAACACAATGCAGTGATTTTTGGCTCCTAAAACTTGTGGGAAAAATAAATTTAAGAATTTACTTTTACATGGCAGAAAACTCTTGCTTACATTGGCACATACAGTGATATGAACATCAAATTTCACTTGTACACACATAGGACTTTACCAATCAATAGGAGAGCTGAATTTCACTGAATAGCACCAAGTGTAAGCACCATATTTATTGCAAATAAAAAGGTGCTTATAATGGAATCTTAATAATACTAATTGGTTTATATCATCAGGTCCATGAATTATAGTGTTCCTAATAAACCAATATTAGAATAAAATCCCAAGTACACCAATAAACCTGCTGCTGGAGTTATTTAATGTGTCCTTATGCAAGGAGCATGTGCTACTAATTTAGATTCTGTTGACACAGCAGATTGTTAAAACTCCAACAGTCGTGTGTGATGCTACCCAACTGATGATAAGTGGGACAGGTCAGTTCATCAGGCTTTATCTCTAATTAGCACTAAAAGACACAAACTACAAACAATAGCAGAGAAAAGACTTGACCTTGCTAAATTAGACACACTGGAGAGAGGACAAATGAAGCTCTGTATTCAGAGGGGAGGAAGTCTATTATGTAATAATCAAAGGGTGCCCACTTTAGGAGAGTCATATTCCATCATCAAAACACAATGTGTCAAGCCAACCCAAAGAAATCTACTCCTAGAAAAGGAGCCTACATTAATTCTGAATCAATCCTCCCCCACATCTTTTTCCCAATCCCCACAAAAATCAGGCTAGATTACCTTTCTCACAGTGACTTCCAGTGAATCCAGATGGGCAGACACATGTGTTAGGAGCCACACAGGTTCCACCATACCTGCAACCCTCTTCACAGAATGCTGTTGCAAAAGAATGAAAGATTGCACTTAGATAAAATGCAATGAGGATACTCATTGTAAACAGCATGAGCACTGAAACAATTCTTTGTTGCACGGAGAATACACCAGATACTGACAGATTTAAATTTTTACACCCACAAAAAGACATAAATGTAATAATACCTATTTCACTGGTTTATATAAAATCAATTGAAATAATGGATGTAAAGTGTTGAGCACAGGGTTGGCATATACCAAACTGTAGCTAGTATTGTAGCAGCTATTACTGTTGCTATTAGTATTGATTTATTTGAAATAAAATAGGATAAACTCAGTAACTAGAAAATGTAAGGTTAGGATGAAGACAAAGGCTTTTCACTGCTCACTATTTATAGCCTACTCTTTTTTACTATCTTTTATGAAAATATACTTTAATTGTTCAAAAAGATTTTTGGTGGTTGATAAAATTTTTGATAATGTAACAAATCTAACTAACCCCTTACTTTTGAATATTTAAGCCATTCCCAATATTTTTGCAATAAAAATAATGTTTTGTCTTTGTAGCTAAGGTGCCTAGCTCACTCCAAGTATTCCTTTGGGAAAAATGCCTCAATATGGAAATGCTGGTTAAAAGGATTTGGACTTAATGTAGGCCTTTTGATTAACTTTGATAATCAAAGTTATTCAACTCTATCCCAGTGCTACCTTTTCCAAGTCAGGTTTTCTGATTTGTTTGTGCGTGTATGTATATTGTTTACCACCCTTATCTCATCCACTGGATTATAAGACCCCTAAGAACAAGAAGCATAATTACTCTTGCTCACCACTGTACCATAATTTCAGTATCTACCACATAAAAATACTCAAAAAATATTTCTTGAATTATTTAATCTTCATTTGACAGGTTTTTCTGTTAGGAAAACTCTTGTTCTAACAATTCTACATCATTTCTATCAGAATAATTTTTAGCAAATGTTAAATAAACAATAATTTTAATTAACAAAAATATAAAAATCTCTTATTGATGAAGATGATTGGAAGAGTTAACCCTATTTTTCTTTTATTTACATGAGAGCTAAGGGAGCAAATGTTTTATGTTTTAATTCTAGTTAGAAAATGTCACCCTGGAAAAATGTCATGCTTGTATTTTGCCATCATTATATAATTAACATGAGTCTAGCTTTAAAAAGCTACATGGTATGTTTAGATATTTGAATACCAGTCTAGGAACATAGAACTTCTCACAGTATTGCTTTGCACATCATTTAATATTCCTCAGGGAATGAAACCGAGTTCAATCCCCAGCACAATGATAGATATATAGACACATACATACATACTAGTTATGCATATATATATATATATATATATATATACACCTTGGATGATTTAACATTCTATAGCTTCAGCAATGAATTGTGAGCAATGTTGCTTGTGCTGGAGAACAATATATACCTAGGGACTCCATTTCCTATTTCCAGCAAATTAGTACCCTTAACCTATGTATACAGAGATTTAGAAATGTTTGCCTTGGTATGTTCATCACAAAATACAAAATGTATACAAACTTACGTCCAATTCTCTTGCCCCCAAAATCATACATTGTAAGCCCTGGTGACTGACATCTCAACTGTGATATTTAAAAGTACAGCTCTGCATTGAAGTTCATGACATAACAGTGAAGTATTTTTGCAAGTTAAAAATGACAGATGGAAAGCTGGTAAGATAAAGTTTCAAGTGGTGAT